CTAGATTCTAGACGGCGGCGGTGTCATCCCCTTTTGATTGCCAGCTCCCAGAAAACAGGCAGGCAGATACCTCGATTTTGGACTGTGACAAAGGGGCAACACTGTTTCTTTGGCTCAAGAAGAGGTGCATTGAATCACCTGATTACATCTTGCATCATAGATGCCTTACTGGTCTTTGGTAATCCCACATAAGAAAGCCCTAGAGCAGATGGACCGTCTGCCTGTGGGACCCCAGTGTTCCGGTCATGGGATCCTTCACCTTTACCTTCACTATTCTTTCTTCCCAACTTCCCAAAGATTTCTCAGCAAATTCTGCCACAAAGGGGCTGAAATCCCTTCCGCGTTTTGCCTCGACTCGATCCTGCTCGCGTTGGCCCTCATCCTCGCCATCCAGACCATCATCGCCTAGCATGTCGATATCAATTGGCGATATTCATGTTGGCAGCGGTTCAACTCTTGTCGCTGGAATGAATCATGTCAATTCAGGTTGATTCTTATCCGTTTCTTTGCTCATTACAGGAATCGATATGCTGACAATTTCGCTAACAGGAGCGGATATGGAAGATAATCTGACAAGATGCATCGACGCTCTCTTCATCGCAGATCCTGAAGTGGACCTGGAGGAATTGATCGAATCAAAAGGCGGATTCGTTGAAGGAACGTGTAGATGGGTCCGATCTGAGGAAAGTTACAGATCTTGGTTGGAATCCAAGCAGTCGGCGATACTCTGTATATCCGGTCTTCCCGGTACAGGAAAGACGATGCTCTCCTATTTCATCACCAAAGAACTCGAAAAACTCACGCAGAGTATACCAGGGGACGTACTGTTCTACTTTTACAACCCTCAGTACCCCGAGAAGAACACGACGACATCAATTCTTAGGACCTGGCTCCATGAAATCTTCACCAACCATCGAACTCTTGCTAAACATGCTGTCAAGCGCATGACCCCAAGGAGAACCGGGAACACCTTGAAATCACGCAGCACGCTCTGGGCTATTTTTACTGCTACAATAAAGGATCCCGAACTGGGTCCGGTGTATTGTGTTCTGGATGGGCTCAACGACTTTCCTCCAGACGAGCGTAGATGGCTTGTCAGCAGTTTTCAGGCGCAGTTCGGAAGATCATCTGGAGCTCAGGTTCAACCAGAAACTCTCAACACTTTCAAACTCATCATATCCAGCGCTGCCAATGAAGGTTTCCATGAATGCCTTCATCTGACTTCGACGCTTGACAAGAAAGACCCAAAAAATGATCTCAAATGTGTCATCAAGGCCAGACTTGCGCGCCATCGACACTGGGGAATTCTCGACAAGGAATCTCAAGATGCATTGGCTGGTGAACTCAGTCTTCGTTCCGAAGGACTTTTTTCATGGGTTGATTTCATGCTTGAGGATCTTTATCTAGAGAAGACGCTTTCGGCAATGATGAAGAAGATGGATCAAATACCATGTGGTCTTCGCCATGTATTTTTGCGCCTCCTTGTGCAGATTGACGATAAGTCCCGCCGCGAGACCGCCAAGATCCTTCAATGGGTTGCTTTACTCCGAAGACCTGTCACAGTGGCTGAATTGACAGACCTTATCCACCCCGACGCTGAAGAGCCTGAAGAAGAACGCCAAAGAATACAAGATCTCGTCAGCGAATCCTATCCACTGATGAGGATCACGAAAGCGGGCAGGGATTATGAGGAACGTGAAGCTGAAGAGGACATAATTCTTCCTCTACATCGGTCAATTGCTGATTACATGTCCAATATCGACATGGATTCAGCCATCAAAGATTTCTACTTCAAGCCAGAGAAAACACATTACGAAATTGCCAAAATATGCCTCGATGAGCTCCAAATTTGGTTCAAACGTGCCGAAGAGACGGAATCTATTTTAGAAGTTGGCTATTCCTCTGTTTTTTGCCACACTAGATGGCTTGAATATGCGAGAGACTACTGGCCATGGCATACGAGAGGAAGTGGCGAGGAGGCCCTCCAGTTCTTGGCAGTCGACAGCATCTTCTTCCATGAGGAATCGCTATTTCGTACTGTTTGGTGGTACGAGCTCAAGAACAAGAACTATGCTCGCTATCGCAGAGGAGAAGATGACGGGATAAAAGAGGTACTTCCGTCAACCAACATTCTTCACATCTGCTCAGGGTTGGGCTTCCTTCAAATAGTCCGGACGCTGCTAGAAAAGCATCCAGACGCCGCATCTTACGTCAACGAAGAGGAGGAGGACGGCGACACACCTCTCTCATATGCTACACGTTATAACCATAGCGATGTTGCCGAGCTGCTCGTTCGCTATGGTGCTCACGTCATGAGGCAAATAAACGAGATATATTGGAACAATCTTGAGTATGCATTTCACATTCCAGTTATCAATGCTTTCGCCAACGCCAATGTACGGCTGGCTAGATTCCTAATCAAGCCTACCTGCGCTCAGATAGACGATCCATCTCGGAAAGTTATGCTGGGCATCTACCTGATTTGCGAGGAAGCCTGCGTATCCAAAGGCACCAAGAGCAGACAGCTCGCTGAGTTAGTATTGGACAACATCGAGATCAACATCACCGAAATGAAGGAAATGTTCAGGTTGGCACCGTGGAGAAGATCGGTATGTGGTCATCTGTGGGAACGAGACAACTTGGACGTTCCGGACTTGATCATCTATCGACTTTTGCGTTCTGATCGCAAAGTTCTCCGCGATGTTCACATCTTTCCCAGTGCTGTTGGATATGCTGCTCGACATCCCAGCATTGCCGCTGAGCTGTTGCGTGCCTGTCTCATTCCCGACATCAAGGACGTATCTTCTTCTGAGTCTAAGGCTAAGACGACACTACATCCTATTGTGGTAGACAGTTTGGAAAGACTTTACGATTTCTCCTACGAATTCAACTACGAGAATGAGGCCATTGACACTGCCTTGTTCAGGGGCAGCTTCGAAGTGGTGTCTATGCTTATCAAAGCTGGCAGTAAGGTGGCAGACCCTAGAAAGAGTTCGCTGGTCTTGAGGATATCAGAGAAGGTTCTCGAACTTTCAGACTCAAACTTCAACCTTGCTGTTGCACAAGGCATTTGCAAGCGTCTGCTGTTGACGGACGAGGACATCAATGCTAGGGTCACGTTTTGGCGGCACGAAGAGTCTGACAATTTCACGTTGTTGGACCTTTACCTCAGAGGCTTGCTTTTTGCAAAGACAGCCAGATTTGCTCTATTCCTCATGCAACATGGAGCACGTTGCAGCGACGAGGAGGACTCGCAACGCTTACTGCTGTACCTAGCTCCGTTGGCTCGAGGCGTGGTGACTGACGACGATTGGGACTGGTTTGTTCGTGCTTTTGAAGGGGATGAGCACGGCCGATGCTATTATTGATGATGCCTTGACCAGGTTTTATCCCCCATAGAGAATACCCTTATGTATTGACGATTCTACTCCGCATATCGTGCAGAGAAGTATTCAATAACTTACACGGCAGGTGCAAGCGGAGAGCCGAGTTCGGCGATCCAGTGTTGACAAGTAGTAGTCTAGAGACTGGGGTTAGGAGCCGGTGGCCCGACGGGGGTAGCATGGCGAGCAGTGATGTCCGGACTATCGGTCAGTCAGTCAGCCTCGATGCAGAGGACCTCGTGTTCAGCAGAGAATGAAAAAAAAACAAAGTGGGTAAACAAGATGACGGGCCAAGCCAGCAGCATGGCCATCCCAATCAACGTGATAATGTGACGGTGTGACAGGCTGCATGATCGAGGCGGTCTCCGAACCGGAAGTTAGGATTTCTCTGTCTGGTCTGCGTCTGAGGTCTGAGGTGTGTGAGACTGAGTGTGTGTCTGTGAGGATGAACAACGATGGCCAGGCCCTTGGCCAGTCCTAATCTCATGGCATTCTAGAATCTCATCTCGTGCAGGAAAAATTGGAGTAAAATGTGGAGAATGGCGTTCGAGAGATGCCCAATGTTTTGCCCCCAAGGACCCCCAAAACCTCCGGAAGTTTCTTGAGAGGAGGAAAAAAAGTTGGAGCTCCTCACATTTCTTGGCCACGTTGGGTCACAAGCTCTGTCAAGATTTCTCGTTGTTTCTTTCCTTGACTCCACAGGGTCCCTTTCGGGACACGAGGGACACGGGGAGCTCGGAATGATGAGCAGGAGACATGGAGACCTTGACAAGGGTTTAAGGGGTTTCCGTCTTGTTTCTCTCATCTCATGTTCTGCTCGTGGTTGGCATTCTAGTCAGGTACTTTTCATAAAGATTTCATACACATCGCATATTCATGCATAAGGCCATTCACTCACAGCATCTACACTGTTATTGTCCATATGTATCATTGAGACTGCATAATATATAAGTCTAGCCTTAAGCTTACACGGTACCATACTACCCATCATCGAATGCGCTGCAACGTCCAGTGTCGGTGGTAGTTCAGAGGCAAACAAAATCAGGGACTTACCCGTCTGGCCTGGTAGCCGGCAGCCGGGCATGCCGGGATGGAGGAGCCAGTCCACCTAGAAGAGGGCCATTTGGGGGCAATGGCCCACCCCCGCCCCGGGGTTGTGGTTCTAGTGTGGGCGGTGGGCGCGGTGGGTGGCATGGAGCGATCCTTATTTTGGCCCATGGATGTCCGCTCGGGCTCCATGAGTCCAGCCCTAGTTCCGGGGCAACTCCCCGCGAGGCAGTGCGAGAGCGGCGGACGTGCTACGACCTGCGACATGCGGCGCCTGGAACCTGCGACTTGGGACCTGACCGGTTGAGACGTGGTTTTGGGCCGGGAAGCTGCGAGACGCGTCCATACGCCCAAAGTATCGTGAACTTTTTCCCTTTTCTCTTTTTGGCTGCTACCAAGTTCCATGATTCCTTCCACCACCACCAACACCACCAATCCTTGTTTGCCCTTGCCAAGTAAACCAATTGACCACTAGATCAACTCACGCCACGATCCTTCCTTACTTGCCAGTGTCCACGAATGTCTTACCTAAACCTCCTTCCCTACCGTCCCGTCGTTCCTTCCTTCCCAATGGAAAGCTCCAACACTCATAATAAACGGGAGCTCCCTTCCTTCACTCCCGCGCCTTCTTCAAGGTTCCAAGCTCCTCCCCTCTGCCATACTTACCTTAAGGTAGTGTCCTCCTCCCCGCGACTTTCTTCCTCCCCTCCCTTCCCATCTACCAACTTCTCACATACAACAAACCAAGTCCAACCGACCCCGAATTACGAGACGTACTTCCCGATCCAGACTTACAACCAGACGATCAGGAGTCAATCACCACCCTCCCGCTCGTCCCACGTCATCTACCCCACCATAGCTCCTCTCATCGTTGCTTTTGCCCAAACTTGGGCGCCTCGAATTCTGCCAGCCCTCTGCCAGATTTGATCGTCAACTCCGCATCTGCCAGAGACAGCTAGCTTCATCTGCTCGATCCAGGTCGCCGCTCAACAAAAACTAATTCCGTGACATCATCCGGCTGAAGTCAATTGCAAAAGTCAACGGTTCTCCAAAACCGAAACAAACGCCATCATTGTTTCGCTTTCACACTTTTATTCCTTCCGAAGGGCACCTCGAATCGATTCTGACCGTCGTATTATTTCAGACGGCAACATTCACGTACATACACTTCAACACCGCGTGTAACACTTTCACACCCGCGGACACTCAAAATGTTCCGTCCTCTTAGCGCCCGACTGGCGCGGACCATTCGTCCCATCGCGAGACACACCCAGGTCCGCGGCAAATCCTCTCAGTCTTCCGCCTCTGCAGCTCAAGCTAGCATTGCAGCCACTAGCCCCAAGCAGCAGCAACAGTCTAGATCCATCAGCGGCAGCCCCAACGTCAGAGAGAAGCCTCACCCGGGCCAGTATTCGAGAACCGACCCCGATGTCACTGTCGAGTACCCTGAAGACGACCAGCTGCCTAGCAGTCAGCCGGTCCGCGGCCACGGTGGTGGCATTGGCAAGCCCACGCTTGCTTCCTTCTCTCTCGATGGCCACACCGGCGTCGTCACCGGCGGTGCGCGCGGCCTTGGCTTGGTCATGGGCCAAGGCATGGTCTACTCCGGCAGCGACCTTGCCATCGTCGACTTGAACAGTGAGTTTTCGACCTGATTGCCAGCAAGCTTCAGACTTCCGTGAGAGCAAGGTACTGACACCGAGACAGAGGAGGAGGCTGAGCTCCAAGCCAAGAACCTGCTTGAGGCATTCAAGAGAGAAAACCCAGAGGCCAAGAGGTATGCACTCGGATGACCCTATTGACCTCGAGAGGAAGTGACGGACGCCTAACAACGTATAATAGAGTTCCCAAGGTGACTGCGCACCACGCAGACGTCTCAGACCCCGCCTCTGTCGACGCCTGCATTGCTGAGATCCTCGCCGCTCACGGCAAGATTGACAACCTCGTCACGTCGGCCGGCTTCACCGAGAACTTCGACGCCATCAACTACCCCATTGAGCGCATGCGTAAGCTCTGGGGCGTCAACGTCGACGGCACATACCTCTTCGCTATCGGAGTCGCCAAGCATCTCATGGAGCGCAAGTCTCCCGGAAGCATGGTCTTCATCGGCAGCATGTCTGGCTCCATTGTCAACATTCCCCAGCCTCAGGCGTAGGTTTCATCGAGTCTTGTTTCTTTCGAGGCATCAGATTCGCTAATACATGTTCAAACAGACCTTACAACGCCGCAAAGGCTGGTGTCCGTCACTTGGCTGCCTCTTTGGCTGTCGAGTGGGCTGGTGCGGGCATTCGTGTCAACTGTATCTCTCCCGGCTACATGCTCACAGCTCTGTAAGTCTAATACCCAAATTCTTTGTTTCCAGGCAATCAATACTGACGCACATGTGCAGAACCGAGAAGATCCTTGACGACAACCCAGACCTCAAGCAGAAGTGGACTTCTCTGATTCCTCAGGGCAAGATGGGTCAGCCCAAGGACCTTATGGGACCCGTCACTTTCTTGCTGTCTGATGCCTCTCTCTACGTCACGGGTGCGGACCTCCGCGTTGATGGCGGTTACACCGTCACATAAGCCGCCACGAGCCCTTGATTTGAATTGGATTGAAGAAAGAGAGGAGGAAAGATGTCAAAAGTGTGCATTTCCACTAGAGTAATTGGCGTTTTTGCTATGGGAACATAGAAGGTCGATTTGTTGATACGTCGACAAATCGTAAAATTGATAATGATCAAACAATCCGCGATAAGATCTCGAAGAGGCTGACTGAGTCTCTGTGGATGTGGCATGTGAAGGGCGGCCAAGCTAGGTCGCTTTTCACCGGTCAGCGTATTCGATGAGGCTCATTCGTTGGCACCGATCGAGGCATTCCACCACTCCGACATGCAGGTTTACGGGGCCCGCAGCATAGGGTCACCGGACGGGCCATCGACTGTTATCCGATCTCTCATATCGCCGGGTCTCCCCTATCCTGAGCCCGTATCTAACACTTCTAGCCTTCTGTTTCTTACCCTCGTCTTGAGCCTTGTCTGAAGCCTCGTCTCGAGGGCCGGCCAGGGGTTCAGTACTCCTGACGCCCTGATTCTCAGTGAGATGACCATAAAAGATTACAGTACGTTGGCTTATATGATTCCTTATGAGAGACTGTAGGTATCGGTAGACATGAGGAATGCATGACAGCCGGAAGGAAGACTACATGGCGGCCGACACTGGTCAGTGATGCCCCTCCTACCTTACCTTCCGCCGTTGCTACCACACGCACAGTATAAGCATACACATGCACCGACACACCGAAAAATGACTGGAACATCTGCACGATCGAGGGTCCAACGCCGTGCCGTGCGTTTGCGGGGGGGGGGGGGGGGGGGGGGGGGTTTCGAAAGGGGGAAAGGGGGGGGGGGGGGGGCGGGGGGGCCGGTTTTTTTGTGGTTTTTTGTGGTTAACGTAGCATGTGGGGGGGGGGGGGGGGGGGGGGGGGGGGGGAGTAGGTATTGCACATGGGTAAGTAGACGGGGAGAGCGGTCGCTGGACCGGTCTTATTTGGCGTTTCGTGCACTGCCTGTCATGTAACCAGCATATGCTGTGCGACGGACGGCACCGGCGTGTTGGTGGGAACCGGGGAACGGTAAGGTCGGGGGGTCAAGAGTCCAGAACTTTGTTGTCCTGGAGGTTTTGAGCGACCTGCAGTAAGATTGTTTGGTTGGGCGGTGCGAGGGAGGGAGGTGCGTGTGGTAAGGTAGATAGGCGAAAAGGCGGAGGTTTCTGGCTGTATGTACGCCCCGTACTTATATGCAGGTAGGTACCTAGGCGTGTTGGCAGGCTGGCAGGCAGGCAGGTAGGCAGACCAGCATGTGTCTTGTCTAACCCCCGGCGAGAGACTTGCTTGCTGCTGTTGTCGTGTTCGCGGCTCTCGTGTTGGTGGGAGGTTTGAAGTCTTTTGTGGGTGTGGGAGCTAAACGACAGAAACCAGATATTGGGAACTGGTGGTCAATGTCTAGCGGACATGTGACAAGCGGCTTAAAATACGGAGACCCTTTTCGGACCCGTTGAGGATTGAGTCTCACCTAACCTACCTATCCATATATGGAAACGTGATACGGTCTCATGGAGTATACAAGGAGCCGGATGTGATGAGAGGCAGGAAGACTATAGGAACTATCCCGCCGGCTCGGCAGACGGGGGGGGGATAACAGGGACAGGACTCAGCAGCATGAGAAAGACATGGGAAGGAAAGCAAGTAATCTAGCAAGGGCTGTAAATGGCATGGGTAGAGAGTAGTATCAACGTTTGTGACGAGATTCTTGATTATTGAACCATCCTTCCGGTCGACATGGCGCCTCGTTCATTAACCCAAGGAGTACCGTGCCAATGCTGACTGAATCACACCGAGGAAGCTCTCAACACTTTTTCACAGTACGGATACCTATTCAACTGAACGAACCGCGCGATGGAACCCAAGCTCTGGACCACAGCATGGGGAATATACAGGCCTCCAGGGGACTCAGGGTAGACAAGGATCCCGTAGCCTCCCCTGGTGCTTTTTCGAACCCGGCGCCGTTGTCAGCGCACGTGGGAGACGTGCCGGGGAGCGCGCATGTTGCGGAGGAGGAGGAGGAAGAAAGCCATGGCGAGGACCTCGAAGAGCGATAAGCATACTATAGGTATGGCTCTTTTGTTCACCTTATGCTCGCCACGTCCTTCTTGCCCCCCCTCCCTTGTCAAAACCCATCTGCCATCTCACCTGGGTGGGAGGTCGTCACAGTACCGGTAGTGTAAGATATGGTCGTGGATGCCGCCCATCCCGCTAGTGTGGGGGAAACCAGTCAACACTCTGGTTCATTGTCGTTATGGTGCTTGCCGGGCAGGTATCAAGTTTTCTCTCAAGCAAAATCTGACAACAAAGAGGAAGCCCGGGGGGGGGGGGCTAGGCAGTACATTATTAATAGGGATCCAAGCGACATCACTGCGCAAGCCCTGTCAACTCCTTTTGTGCCCAAACTTGCGTGACAGGATTCCCGGGTAGTAAGGTAATTACAGACGTGGGGGGACGATGGGAAGAGTACACACAACTTACCTTACCTTAATAAGCGAGCGGCTTCCAACGGCTAATACAACCCACAACCGCGCTGCCCCCAAACCTCTGAGCTCCCTCCTCCCCCTCTAAGGTTGTGTATACCTACCCCGCACAGCTACCCCCTGTCAACAGAGGAGCTCCAGGGTAGCTTCGACAGCTTCTGCTCCTCCTCCCACACCCACCATCCATTCCGACCTGTCGTTGCCCCTCGCGCTCGACACGGCAGGTCCGCGTGGCCAAGGCGTGGGGGGAGGGAAGTGGGGAGGCGGAGGGGGGACCTAGGTGTACGGATACTTGTTACCTTCAACTCTCTCCAGTGATATCCGACGGACTGAGTGATCTTCGCAGACAACCCCAGTCTTGCCACGGGGTAATCTTTGAGAAGAAGTCGCTTACCATCAAAAAAGCCTGCAGATCACTCTCACTCTCTCCTTGATAGGGGGATTGGAGCCTTGGAGGGGGCCCTCTCTCATCGTACACAAAGCAAGAGACCCCTTATTTCGGATTGCGTAATGGCTTTCCAGGTTGCGATATCGACGCCATCTCACGCTTGCAAGTCGGACCCCCCCTCCCTTGTCCCAGACAATTGACCTCGTGATCAGTTGCGATTTTGCTTTTTCCTCGTCTTTGGCCACATCCCCTCCTTTTTGACGGATCCTCTGTGGCCTACCCCTCACAACTAGGCAATTCACTACTACCGTTTGGTAGAGAGCTCACAGTCAAGAGACTACCTAGAGCCTGATCATCGAGTCAGATTCCCATCGGGGGACTGTACAATAGCCTTAGCTAGAATTACGACCGATGCTGTGGAGTCAGAGTAAGCCGAGTGAGCAAGTCCGGAGAGAAAGCAGTTTAGATCCTCCTTGGACCTAAGCTCGTCATCCCCTGTCATGTTTCAGCCCGGGCAATACGCACTCGTCTTTTTGATGGCCACATTGCCTTCACTCGCCTACCTATCTCTGTTTCTTAATGGATGATCTGGTCAGTTAGGTGGTTGGGTAACAAATATCTTCTCATTCAGAATGGCTCGCTAGTAAGAGCTCGGTGGGTCGCTGACAAAATGATGGCGCACCAAGAGCAAGCCGTTCGTCTTTCCTCTTTTCGAACTTCAAATGATCCCGCCGCTGCCCGTTGAACCGCTGTGAACGCATACAATGAACCCTTTTTGGTGGCAGTCCCCTCCTGTAATGCATGTCAGGCGTTTTCCCTGCGAAAGGGGCCCCGTGACCGCCGGTAATGAAAACGCCTCGTGCGATGCAAATGCGCCAAACCTTCTTCCTAAAGGCCGGCCTCGTCGAGCTGATGAAAAGAATAAAGGAAAAAAAGGCAATGAGGTCGGTATTGCCAGTGGCAGACGCAACTACCAGTAGCGGCAACCTCAGTCGAAAGCAAGACATCCACTTCCGAATGACTGCACCCGTTTTGTGTTCCATGAACTCCAGAAGCCCCTTTTAATGCAGTTGATACCTCGCGAATTAGTACATAGGATTGTATGTGAGTCATGAAAGTAGACTTTTTTTTTCTTTTGGCTGTCGGGATCACGACCTGTGTCTTGGCCTATCCCCAGTGCGCTCTTTCTCGCGCTCCAGCAGTAGCGTCAGCTGGCTTCTTGTTCTTGCTAGTGGCACATCGGGAGTAGAGCTTGGCATTGTCGGCGCGAAGTGCGATGAGGAGGAAATTCGGCGTGGGTTGCCCCTGGGTCCAGATTCGTCCTGAAAGCCTTCCAAGGTTTCCAGAGCGCGTCGATCCGGCTCACCAGATATCGTCACCTGCCCCATGGCTGCAATGTTCGACGTACTCGCGGTAGCGCTCGATATGAGCCCCTGCGCAGAACCACGACCAAAGCTAGCCTCCCTCGGTCGATAGGACTCGGAATTTGACGGTGCCCGCTCCATGCGCGGCGCCGAAAAGCCGGAACGTGCTGAAGAGAATGACCCGATTCTTGGTGACGAGAGCGCGGGTGATGCGGCTGGTATATACGTAGGCGTCCTGGGACCACCGGCTTTGACCGTGCCAGCTTCGCGACTCGACCGGTCGGTTGCGGATTTGCTCAAGGGCTCTGGTGCTGGCGCGCGGTTTGCTGTTTGTACAAGCACCGGTTTCCGCCGTTCTTCAGTAGGTCGGGAATTACCCACCGATCTCGGAGATTCCGAAATAGATCTTTCGACTGGTCGTTTCCCCAGGGCTTTGGCGCTAGGTGGCGGCATTTCGAATCCCTCTGACCCGGATACGCTCAGGATAGCACTTTCTTCAGCATGAGGATGCATCACGTTATACGTTCCCACGTGTTTGCCTCCGTTGGCAGAACCGGGCTCCTTGATCCCAACGTCGGAGTTTGTTGACGACTGCGAGCTCATTCTCCTTGGCAGAACCGGTCTTCTCTTACCCGACGCTGATGCAACAAATCGTTTCGTTGGTGTTGAGGGCTTCTTCTTGCTCGATTTTGCTGGGGAGACTGTTGATGAAGTGCGCATTTCTAGGCCACTGGCGCCTGTGCTTCCCG